TTTAATAAAAATATATAACTAAATGTATTTTAGTATATTACTGCATGCATTTTATGTAACTTAAGTAATAAAAAGCTATATTATATTATACATACAGTAAAACTAAAAGTACAGTTAAACTGAACTATTAATAATGAAAATGTATAACTTATAAGAAAAAATTGCACTCAAATACTCAATTAATTCAATGCACTTTCGGTTTTGTTAGAAAAATAAAGTGAAAAAATTTATTTTTTATGTGTAATTTTTTGGTATTTTTTTTGTTGGTCTGGTGTTTGCAAAAAAATATAAAAAGCCTTTTCTCTCTGTCTATTGAAGTAAACAATTAAAAAACAACAAAATAATGTTAAGACACAAAATAAATTAAAATCTAAATAACTTATGATATGGGAATCTTATGCTTATATTTATTTATATAAATAAATTTATATAATATAACGTATAAAATAAAATAAAAAGTTTACAGTTTTGTTTTTATTGTTATTATTATATAACTAACAAATTATTTACAGAAAACCACAAAAAGTCAGTCAACTTTCGATTTTCATTAGAAAAGTGAGAGAGAAAGAGATCGAAGTTCAGGGAGACTGAAAGGGAATGACTGTTAACTTTCTATATAAGCAAATAATTAATTAAATAAATGAAATACTTTCACTGATTTTTTTGTATTTTTCTCCAATATTCTGATGTATAATAACTTTCTGAGTTTAAGCAACAAAAATATAAGACATTTTTCATGAACACACATAGAGAGATAGATAGATAGGTAGGTAGATAGGTAGATAGATAGATAGATAGATAGAGAGAGAGAGAGAGAGAGAGAGAGAGAGAGAAATGTTTTAATAACTTATATTGAAGTTTGAGAAAAATGTCTAATAAATAGATAAATTATAAAAACATGAATACAAGTTTTTTAAAACAAAATCACGACAATTAGTAAGATATATATCACATCTCATTTTCAAATATAGTTTTTCTTTACTGTGTATATGAGTATATTAGAAAAATTATAATTATGGCAACCAACCAATATATGACATTATAATCATATATCATTTTTTAAAATTTTTTTAAAATATATTTGTCTTAAATTTTGTTTTAAAACCCTCTTATGATCCCTCATCTCTCTCTCTCTCTCTCTCTCTCTCTCTTTATTTAATCAAATGAAAGGTAATTTGTAAAATATTAAAAGCAATGTTGAATAATAAAAAAAAAGATTACTAAAAAAAGTTATGCTTTGTATTATATTTTGATGAGATATAAGATTTCAATATAATAAAATAACTAATGTTAGTTACATTATCAACATTTATAATAACAACAAAAAATTGAAAGTGAATTTTCATTTTCATTATCATCATTATATTTATTATCATATTTTTTTTATTATTTAAAGCAAATGAGTTTTTATCATTTATTTCAATGAATGGGAGTTTAATATCATGCATGCCGTTCCCCGTAACTAAAGGGATAGTAAGTAAATGTTAACTGATAATACATTTATATATATGATGATATAAAAATATAATATTTTATCATTTGGTTTGTATGTATAATAATAATAATAATAATAATAATAATAATAATAAACAATAACTAAATGATTATTGGCTTTTATATACAGATTATCGATGTATAAGCTGATGAAACACGTGCACTATATTAAAATACAATACCTGTGCTACAATATGTGGTTACAGTATACCTATTATTATTTTATTATAGTTATCCGATTGTCAATACAATATGAAATACAAATAAGAAATAACTGTCTATTGTTGTTGTTTTAAAAGTTTTTAACATTAGGTTATTAACCTATGGCTTTTTGCCGCATAACAATACAATATATATATATTATATAATATATATATACACACACTATATATTGAGTATTACTGTACAACAATTATTAGATAACCGCAACTATTATCTTCCTAACCGTAAGATTTAAAAAAATTGTTTTCTGTTTGCCTTTACATCTAATATATATATATATATATATATATATATATATATATATATATAATGAATGCATTGAAAGCGCTTTCGCTGATAAAACTTCGGGCAAAACTGTTTTATATATATATTATATATAGGTATTGCCTAACATATTATGCTTATATTGTATATAATATTGAATGTAGTTTTCATATTATAAAATGAATTTTGCCGAATATATCAGTTAATTGAACTCAATTTTATATATATATATATATACTGTATTATATGTATATAAAAAAATTTATATTCAGTACCTCTAAAAAAATTAATGACTAAAACCAGCACTAATAGACTTATGTTAACAAAAGAGAGGGATAGTATTTAATAATTTATTAACAATTTTTTGTTTTTTGATTATTAAATAACTTTTTTTGTGTACATAAATATTCATATTGTTTTTAAACATACATTAAAAACAATAACAGATTTGAAAGTATATAGAAACACAAGGGTTCGCCAAATGGAGGGATAGAGAGGGCTATGTTTTAGGAAAATCTTAAAATAGTTGCCAAAAACAATCAAATTGTTGACACTAAAGGTGGACCTCGCAAACTGGTAGGTCCTATAAAATATCATATTAACCCCTCTACTATTACAATACTGTATTTTACCAAAAAATAAATAAATAAAGTATCCCTACTGTTAAGTACCACTTTGTGCGAACCGTATTATATAAAATAATAATCTACACATACAGTACATACTCATACACACCCATTATTTTATGAATGTTTAGTATAAAATAACAGTATATAAATCCATTAGAAATAAAAATGTTGGGCTTATCTGTAAATATTATGTGAAACTACATATCATAAAAAATATTAAAATATAAATCTTAACTTTTTTTTCCTGTGAAATCACATTAATTGTGAAATATTTACATATATATAGTGCGCAATGTTGTTATGCAATATCGTACTAAGTGTCTATAATTTTATAAATATATTAAAAATAAATACATAATAAAATTTTTTAAAATATTGTATTGATTTAACATTTAGTTAAGCAAACATACAAATAACATATTCAGTTATATAATTATATTTAAAACTAATATCTATCAATCTATGTATATTCATGTGTCTGTACTGAATCAATATATGTAAAAATATATTTAATTATCGATAAAAAAATTTTATATAATTATGTTATCAAATTTGAAAAGCAATCATAACAAATTATATTGAAATAAATTAATTTTGAATTCAAAAAATCAAGTAATACTGTACTTATTTTGATTAATATTGAAAAATAGCATTTTAAAAAATATATAATTGCTGTCTAATTAATGCTATAATAATATCATTAAGGGTTTCACTAAGAGTTACATTAGAAAAATAATTTTTAACTAACTAACAACCCTTACATTAAAAACATTTAAATAAACATAAAAATAATTTCCTATAAAAAAAATAATTTCATCAATTCATCGACAACTATGTATATATTTGCATGTTTGCCCTTTATATATATATATATATATATATATTAATAATTAAGGCTAACTAGACATTGACATGATAATGATAAAATTTTCCCATCACACATATTTAAAAAAATATAACATGACTATAAGCAATAAATAATCGAAATTCATTAAAAACTATTATCATGATTGTCAAAGTCAACAGGAAATAAATAATTATTATTATTTAATTTTGAGAAACAAAAAACATTGTTTATCTGTGTATATGTTTATATATATATTTATATATATTTGTCTAACTGGTTAATCTATTTCATAGTATATAACTTGTTATACATGTGTACACAGTGTACTACACACATACTGGATATATACAAAAACTTTGAGGACAAACACACACACATACACAACAAATAGTGTTATAAATATGGTATGTGAAGTGATGAATAAATTTATTCATTTAATGCATAGACTATATAAATGTATATAAAATAAATATATACATATATACAGTATATACATATATAGTTATATATAAAAATTTTCCCTAAAGTTAAAAGGTTTGTTAAAAAAGTTTTCACATATGTTTGCCAATAAATTATTTAACACTGACTTTAAATAACATTAGGAGTGTCTTCACATTTAACAATACTATGGCAGACCCGCAAAATATACTGTATATATACTGTATAATATATACTCATATATTTTATACTGTATATGTGTTTAAATTGATTTTTAAAATACCTGTATCTTACTATCTTATATCAAAAGGTGTTTGTAAACGTCCGGCCAAATAACACAAAAGATTTATAATCACTTAGAAAATGTGATTACAAACATTAAAAAATAAAAACAACTAAAATAACTAAATTGAAATCCCATTGAAAGGGTTAGTAATTCATAAGTTGTAAACCTAATGCTATAAAGAAAATAAAAAAGAGATAATTTTTTACAACTAATGCTATTTAAAATAAAAAATTTTGTTACTCTAATGTTGTCTATTGTAAAGTAATAATATTATTCAACTATAATTTAGTGAATAAAAAATTTTTTGATTGCAGAGTGAAAGTAAAATATTTGCCAATGAAATATATAAAAAAATAAATGATAGGATAAAAAGCAAATGAATCGCTTAACTGACTATAAATGTAAAGCAAATTGACTGAAATAATAGCTTTTAACTGACAAAAAAGTGTTTTAAGTAGAGTTTTACTTTTATAAAAAATAATTTTTATATTATTATCAAATATAAATTATTTTATCGCTTATTAATAAGTATATACTGTATATATATATATTGTTTGAAAAGCAAATTAGTTACCAAAATAGCTAGCTTTTAGCTATTGAAATATACGAATCTATATTTGAATTATTTTTATATAATAAAATCGTAAGATTTTCAATATCTATTGAAATATATTTATATAGATATCAATATATGCTTTTAAGGTACAAATTACAACCCATTATTGCAAATAAATTATATACTTATATATGAATAAATAGGGAAAATACCATTAAATATGGCGTTAGAAAAATATAGTCATTTTCATCATTAAATATTTTCTTACCCATCAATAGTCAAATCGAGGAAAGACATGCTATCGTTATAGAGATTAAAACGACAGTATATGCCGAGTGCCAGGTCTTTGGTTGTGACCACCAGATCGTGATGTTGTATAACAATATCGTTGATAAAGTGTCCGGGACTGGACTGACGGACACCGCAATCGTCGTTATTATATTTCATTGTTATATTAAACTCAAGACTATTGCTAATATCATTGAGACAATGATTGGGCTGATCTCTGGCGTAAATCTTGCCATTAAATAGACGACTGGTTTTCACTTTTGTCACTATTTCTCGTGAATGACATTGTATTGTGACTGATAAGAGAAAAAAATCAAAGAAAATAAAAAATAAAAAATTTTAGAGATAAAAATTTAGACAATTTTTGTTGTAAGTGTAAAATTATTATTGTTTTTTAAAAAATAATACGTTTGATGACTGATAAATATTGATAGACTTTATATCAGTCAATGCACTGATAAGTGTTAAGATGACAATCGATAGATAATAAATAATAAAAAACTTGATTGTAATAATTATAATCAATAGACAATGCAATGCATAGTAATTGAAAGTTTTCTCAAAAATCTGACAAAAATTCATTTTTCTTTGACAAAAAAACTTGTATTTATCTATTGATTGGCAATAAAATTATAGTCTTTTACAGTAAAATATTAAGTGTCTCATTGTTTTGTCGGTATGTGTGTTGTGTTATCTGTCAATACCATTGTAACACATGAGCAACTCGTATGTTGTCTGTGCAGACACTTTGAGGTACGGGTTATCCAAATGTGTCACTGAATTCTTGTCCAAATGGCTGATCCGACAGACACTGTCGATGTAGTCAAATGAATGGCACCGGAAGCGACTGTTCAGACAGAGCTCTTTGCACTGTTTGATTGAATCGACGTTTTCGTAGACTGAGTCGACTGTCCGCAAAACTTTGCCGGCTATCGGATGAAACTCACAAAACTTTTTTGGTTCTAAAATATAATAAACACAAAATAAATAATTTAATAATAATAATAATATATTTTTTAAAAATTATTATTATTACCATCGATGCAATTATTTTCCATATAATCCATTGTCGATGTAGACGCCGGTCCAAAGTTACGGATCCTCTGGTCATCGCTAACATTAATGGTGTGTCTGTCCATATCTGAAAGTGAACAGTCGTTGCTCTGGTCATCAAAGTTGACGGATCGGCACTCAAATGTCTGTTCATTGAGACAGGAGTTCATACACTCGACCCTTGACTGTACTTTTACTGTCTTTTTGGCCAAACGTTTCAATTCATAGCCCTTAACCCTTTCAAAAGCCCATCCATTAATGCAAACTTTATTTTTGTCTATAAATAAATTAATACCATATCATTAGTATCATTAACTGTAAACTGTTAAAGATCAATTAATTCAATTGCCCAATAATAATAAAATAAAAAAAACTATAAAATGGGTTTTTAAAAAACTATTAAATATACATCAAATATATTATGATAGCTTTTTTCAAAAAAAACATCAATACTTGCCAACAGTTTATACTGTATTTATTGTATACATTGATAATTTCACTGTCGGTTAATCTCTATTATACAGAATGTATATTATTTATACTATAAATTTTATAGCAATAATATATTGATAGAAATGATTTTTTTATAATAATATATGAACATTATATTATGTTTAGTTTTGGCAATTATTGAATACTAATTGTTATTGTTATTGATAGTTATCATTTTCCTATTATTATCAATAATTTTTATCATATTATTTATAGAGATTATTGAGAGAGAGAGAGAGAGAGAGAGAGAGAGAGAGAGAGAGAGAGAGAAAGAGAGAGAGAGTACTTGAAAGTATTTTCGGGAAAAATAGATGTATTTTATGATTTATTTTATATATGATGTTTCAAAAAGATATCTCTTAAGGATATGCAATACATTTAAAATGTATAAAATTATGGCTATAATTTTTAGACATAACTATGAGATGCCCATTAAAAAAGTTAATCTCCTAACATAAATAATAATAATAATAATACAAAGTAATGTGCTAGAATTTTAGATCATCAAAATAATAACAAAAAAAATGATAATTATTTTAATTTTTTTTGTTTAAAATATACCCGGCTTTGTCCATTATTATATAATATACGGTAGATTTATATATATTATATAAAATATTTTTAGATATACAGTATATAATATAGGCATTACTATAAGCACGACCCTCTAAGCGCATACAATTTCAATGCGAAAAATTATGTTAATTCAAGCGATTTATCATTTTTTATGGCCTACACTCACTTAATTACAAGTCTCGGTACTGTAACTTCATATTTATGCCCCGAAAAAAAAGTTATCCACATTTATAACAACATACACAATATACCTGTGTTTTGATATATATATCAAAACACAGATACACTGTATGTTGCTGTTGATGTAGTAAATGAATGAGTTTATCACTATTTACCTGAAACTTATCTAAAAAGTATATCAAATTAAAATTGTTGATTGAAAAATAGAAAATAAAACCAAAAAAGTAGTTTTAATTAATTTTAATGTGAAAATAGACATCAGAATTATGAAAAACAACTTAAAAAATAAGACACCAAAGTTTTAAGAGTAGTTTTAACAGTCAATCAATTATTAATAAAAACTATTAATTTGTTTTTTTACTCATAAAACTTAAATATGGTATAAAAAAGTTTTTTAGATGAAATTTTTAACTATTGAGATAAACAAAACACTTATTTTTAATATATTGTTTTCTTAAGAAAATAATAATAAGAATAATAATAAATACTGTATTTAAGAAATTATAATATAATAACCTTTTAGGCAAACTTTCTGTGCATATATAGTAAACGTCGGAAACTGTGCCGATATCATAGCTTCGGGTCTCTGATTGGCCGATGAACTGACCAAAACACACAGTCCTGTCTCGAAGTTTACCGATTTGCACGTATCGTTCAGCAGACAGTATTGAAGACAATCAGTCAGATGCATGACACCGGTGTATGACTCGATGATATCGGCCGGTGCTTTAAATGTCTGACCCGTTATTAACTCAAATGTGATCGTACTATCACTGGGACAGATGGCTATAAAAATATGTTTATTTAATTTTTAAAATTAAAAAAATAAATTATGCGACAATCAATCAATCAATCAATCAAACAAACAATAATCGTTTATTCAAAATTTACTTACATTTTTGTTGTGCGATAACATAATTATATGAAAATAAATTAATGACCAGAATTGGGACAAATATCCGTAAAAACATGTGTTTTATTAATAAATATGTGATTAGAGATTGCATTGTAATCAATGTTATGTTACACTAACAACAACAACAAAAAAATAGTCAAACAATTAATTTTGGTCTTAAATTAGTACAAAAAAAAAGTTTTAAAATTTACACCATTGAATAATTTTACTCAAAAATTAAAAATTAAATTTGATTCTGATATACAGTTTTTTATTTACAAATTTACAAAACCAAAAATTAATTGTCACATCGACGACACATCAAAAACTAAAACTTTTCATTAAAAAATATAGTTATAAAGTATATAATAAAATAATAATAATGTAAAATATAAAAATTAATCTAGCAAAATCACATTTTATAAATTAACTAGTAATCATTACGATTGGATAAAATTATATACACAAAAATTATAGTTAAATATTATTTTTTAAAAAACCACATTTAATGAAGTTTATTAGTTTTATTTATTTTGTAAAATATCACTTTTAAAAAAATTATTTAATTTATAGATAACAAACACACCACATATTTATAAAATAATACCTTTAAAATAAATTAAATTCATAATAACTTTTATCTCTATTTTCTATTTGTATGTTTATGTTTGCACTGTAAGTATGCATTTAGTTGCGTAACTACAGGTATATGTCTGCACCGGTCGACAGCGTAAAGCATACTAAAATGTATAGCTTATCATAGCATAGCCTATTGCCAGCACTGGCATTGAAATAATACATAGTGAACCTGTTAGTCTGTCTATTGAATATATATACCGGTTTTTATTATTTAAAAACAATTAAGAGAAATAGAAAATATACATTTGCTATAATCAGAGAAAAATATTAATTAAAAAATATATTTGTATAATAAATAATATACGATAACATTGATATTTATTATAATTAAATATTTATTTTAATTAAAAAAAATTATATGAGAATATTTTTTTTAATAAAATGTTATTTCAATAACCTAGATTTATTTCTAGTTTTAATCAATTATTTTATATTATTTTATAAATATTTATTTATTATAGTAATTCATTTCTAGTCTATATTATTAAAAATTATTATTATTATTATTAGATGTAAGTTTTATAAATATGAATTTTTAAATTGAATATACAATACAATTTATAAAATAATTACATTACTGTAACTCAAGTAGCAAATATTATATATATATATAATCAGATTACAATATTTAGATAAATAATATCCACGCAATAAATGCATCAACAAAAATATTTGTTTATTAAAAAAATTGTATAGAATTTCATTGAAAATTCAATTATAATAATATAGTTTGAAAAAATATTTTATTATATAATGGATAGTAAATTTGTTTTATAATTTAGCTTCACTATTTTAATTCAATAATGAATACATACATTAAAAATTAATTTGAGTACCTAATATATAATAATAAGTTATAATATTATATTATTGTCAAATTTTTTCTATATTGATTTAATTATTGCATATTTAAATTTTTTATAATGTAAAGTTTCGCAATATTTGTAAAATGTATTAATAAACATCTTTGAGATAATTTAAAATTTTAACGTAAAATAAATTTGATAATTTTAATTACCATTTAAGTTCATTCACTCAATTCAATCCACTTTCATTAAAATTTTAAATTTTTTTACTTAAGTTATAACTAACTATAATATAACTAATAACTATTTTTTATACTTTTTATTATAGATCGAAATAAAATGTTTGACTAAAATAAAAATCATTTTTAATTCAATTGTTATTATTTTTATATTTCTTTCAATATTTCATTTATATTGATATAATCGAAAGCAAAATTAATTTTTTGCTGTAATCTCTACGTCAACAATATTTTATGTTAGTTTTTTTCGACGCAAACTTGATTTTTTTTTACAATTTTATTACATTTCATAATTGATATCTACAGTAGTTTTTATGTCTGGGAGTCAAATTTATGAGACACTATTATATGTTAGTTTTTTTGAATTCAATGTATTCTTACTGTATATGAAAAAATCAATTATAAAAAGTTATATAAATTCTCTCTCTCTCTCTCTCTCTCTCTCGCCGTCTACAGTATATAATAGTGAAAATAATAATTTCTTTTATAATACAATATACATAATATTTATAATTTAATTAAATTTTTTTATATGTGGTATATCATTGCCCAAACCAATTGTGATCAGTGAATTGAATCAACATTTAAATAATTGAAACCAACAGGTTTGGGGAAGTGTTTCAATTTTTTTATTTCAAAAAACACACTTATACTGTATATATATATATATCATATATCTGTATAAATAACACATAACACATAACACATATGATATACTATATATAACAACTTATTATTTAATAAGTTTCTCCATTACTATTACTATTATTATTATTACTGGTTTTAATACTCTATTTCCTAGTTTTTATACCGTTTGTTGAAGACATGAATCTCTCATTTTTACAGTTAATGTGTTGTTCATTAAAACCTGAAGTCACAGCTTTTTGAAAAAACATATATCATATCATATATACTGTGTGTATATTATATATATATATATATATATTATTTACTATAATTGTATTTATTATTAGCATCATTAACATTATTAACCAACAAATGATTGATGGAAATTACAATTATTATTATTACAATAATATTACATAACTAAACAATATAAGCACTCACAAGATATTATACTGTATTTTATAATTAGCCGCAAACACATATATTAATTGTATAAATTTTAAATTGTCATAACATTACTGTATAATTAATATACTTTTATATATAAATTTATATTAGAGAGTCAGCTAACATTAAATTTTAAAAATTGAGATAATTGTAAGAAATTGTGCTATTATTGCTATATATGTTATTGTTTTTTATAATTTCAGTTTAATTTGTAAATAAAAGTAACTTTATATATATTGTATATATAAGTTGACTGTTTTTATATATAATTAAGTGAAATGAAAACATATCATTAGTGATAACAACATAAAACTAAAAAAGAGGTTAATTTAATTTATTTTATTTTTGTGATTTAATTGTAAACTAAATTACTAGACATTTCCTAGTAATGACTGACTACACAACTGAATAATCTTTTACAACAGTTTATATCAAACAATTGAGAGGAAAATATCTCGAGGAAGAGAAATATGTTGTATTTTACCACTAAATATACACTTGTTTTTTCAAAGTCAACATTTAATGGCTAAATGTTTGTGTGTGAGTCTATGTTTGTGTGTTTAAAAACTTTAGCAATTTTTTTCAATATCATTGAATGGAAAATAAAGAAATGCTTTTGTTTTATTTATGTTATCAATTTTATTTGCTGACATAATATCTTTAATCTATTTATCTTATCAAATTTTTTTTATATAAATATACATAACATGGAGTGAGAGAGTGAGTGAGTGAGAGAGAGAGAGAGAGAGAGAGAGAGAGAGAGAGAGAGAGAGAGAGAGAGARAGAGAGAGAGAGAGAGAGAGAGAGAGAGCATCAAATTATAGAATAATAAAAAAAATTTTTTGAATTTACAATTTAAGACTTATGTATCTATCATAATATAAAAACATTAAATTCAAATCATTCAAACATATAACTAGTATAAACATGTGAACACAATTTTCAAAATATAATTTCAATTGCCATCGATTGGTCACAAAACGCGGAATCATTTAAACATAAAAACAAAGTATATTATTATTATTATTAGTGAATTAAATAACTTATATTGACTTTAATAACAAATGTGAAAATATCACTACTAAAACAGTTACATTGCATTAAAATACATTAAAATAAATGCGATTTTAAAATTCAAAGTCAAACGCAAACACTATTTTTTTATGAAAATCTCATCAGAAGTGGTCACATGAACTTGTTGTCTACTTTGAGGAACAGTTAGAAAAATATATATATATATTGTATATAACCATTAAATATATATAATAATAATAGAGACACACTATTGTGTTGCTCAACACTGCGCTAACTGTTTTGTTGATGTTTTCTCACAATTCAAATATTTCACTGATAAAAATGTCATTTACTTTTGTTAGACAAAAATGTTTTAACAGTTAAATCATTAATACTTCCCTCTCTCCTATTCTGACTCTCTCTCTCTCTCTCTCTCTCTCTCTTAGTCTTTGTCTCATTATCTGTGAGAACCCGATCTCTGAAACTCCCAGTGCACTCACGAAAGGTCTATCCTCTCTCTCTCTCTTTTTCTCTTTCTCTCTCTCTTTCTCTCTCTTTCTCTCTCTCTTTCTTTCTTTCTATCAAATATATACATACATTGTCTATAATTGTTAATTTACCGTATTTTTGATGCTATCTAACTCAATATAAACCCAGACTGTATTATGGCAATCTGTATTAATACAAAATACAGCAATTTGTACAACAATTTAATGATTGCTATCAAAAATAGTAGTTCAAAATAATTGGTAAAACAAAAATTAGATATTTGTTATCAATTGTATCAAATATTTTAATTCGACATCACTATTATAATTTGGATGATAAAATTTGACATATGTTTAACTTATGTATTATAAACTTAGCAAATATAATGCATATAGTTTTAAAATATAATTTATTTTTAATTTATGTATCATTAGATATAATATCATTTAAACAATTATTTTTTAAATTGGTATTTTTCATGATTATATTATAAAATTTTTTATAACTTAATTATGCTATTGATAAGAAAAATTGTAATTTTTAATTAAAAATACTTTTTAAAAAGTTACATCAATATTTGCAATGCAAATTATTATAATTTGATTACAAAATTCAATAAAAAATGTTGTT